TTTGAAAATTGGGATACGGGACTTGTCATTGCATTTTTTTAAATCTAATTTCATACGAATTGGCCAAGTTGCGAAATATCCCCATATAGCGATATTTCAACAAAGATGGAATATATTGGCCCCCGTTTGAGCATATTACTCCATACTCAATGGCATTATTATACCAAATACAGACGACAGCCTTAATTTGCATTAAATAGTTCTTAATTTTAATTAATATTTACCCCTAACAGACGAGAATTTCTTCATTTATGAACCAGTTTTTTGTTTCAAAACTATTGTTTGTCTGGGTGTAGGAAGAAAATATTGACATTTGTTTACAATATTTTTTTAAGATTACATCTTTATTAAAAGGAACATGACAGACAGGAAGAATAACAACTATAATGATGATAAAACAAATTAAGGCTGTCGTCTGTGTGAATGCTGGTGATTCCTGCTCGATAAACCTGTTGATCTAGGGGTTCTCTCTTAAGCTACATTTACACGATTGAAGGCATTTTGAAGTCTTATCAAAATATTGAAAATGTATTTTCAAGTCCTATTTACACGTTTCAAAAATTTGATAAAAATATTCTTTCAATATATTTCAAATTATTTTGATCAAAATGTTTTGAAGCTAATTTACACTATTGCTAATTTTTTATATTGAAAATATAGACTTTGAACAGCTGTTTTGATTATTTTGAGAAATAGTTTAGGATTAATAACTATGGTCGACGACACGGCCATCAGCAATTTTTAATATTGGAGGAAGAAATGAACAATGAAAAAAGAAGAAAACAAAAGCAACATTGGGTTCGGTCTTTTCTTTTGGAAGGTGATGATGTGTATGTTTCTTTAAAGAGAGCGATTAAAACGGAATGATCCCGAACTATACAAAAACTTTGCACGAATGTCACCAGACGATTTTGATGACCTGCTTGAACTAGTCACCCCATTAATAAAAAAGGCCAATACTAATATTAGGGAATCTTATGCCCCGGAGAACGCCTGACAATAACATTGAGATTTTTAGCGACTGGGGACAGCTATTCAAGTCTGACGTTCTCTTACCATCTCATATTAATTTATTAGTTATAATTTAACTCGTAAGTGATTTAATTTCATTGGCCCTTAGCGCAACAAAAATGTGTAAATAAAAACATGTACATATGTATTGATCAAAAGAATGAACATGCTGTCAAAATATTTCTAGTCATCAATATTGCCAGATGCGATTTTGATACCTATTTACACGGCATCAATAGAATCTTCAAAAGTTTTGTTCAATAAATTTTGAAGAAATTTAGCTGTTTACACGAGTTTGAATGAAGCATATTGAAGACAAATTTGGAAGAAACCTTCAATCGTGTAAATGAAGCTTTATACCGTTACATGCCTGGGTGGGAGAATCCTATCCATAAGGTGATGGCATGGATGATTCTAGCGATAAAACCTCATAAGGTACAGCCGCATACTAAACCACCGATCAACAAAGTATCTTTATCATCACCTCAAGAGCTGTCGGCAAACGACTTGACGACCTTGTTCCTGTTTCTCATCTCATAGCAATGACTAGCGCGGATGACTTAAGGGTCCCAACATTTTGAATCGTTTGGGTTATTAGTTTTTGAGTTATCGCTTGGAGAAAAACGTGTTTAAAGTTTTAGAAGCCCTTTTGCATTCACTTTATGCTAACCCAATAAATCGGCTATATTTTCAAAAATTGTTGAGATTTTCACTTGGAACATTCTTGAATTGATGCAGGTTCGAATTAAATAAAAATACAAAATTAAATTTTTTGAAACCGAGAATAAATAAACTATCGAATGTTACTCCCAAAATGTTGGGGTAGTTAGTTTGTTGTTGAAATTAGTACACCATCGACCATGATGTTCAGCAGGAGCTTCATTTCAGACGTCGATGTAATGAACAGAGTGGTTATGGATTTAGCAGCGGATATCTTGATATTCCTCACTTGGCTATATAAAAAATTTAACCTTTGACAAATGTCATCGATAATGGGACCCGACGCCAATCACAATTATCCGCATACATTACGATATTTATGCCGTCCGGTGGTTGTGGAATTTCAGAAAGCTAGAGGTTCAACAATTCCCGTGATATGACTCCCTGTTTCTCTCTACGGATTGAATACGGTTTAAAATAATTTATATTCGAGAACTGTGTTATGCATTAAAAATGTCCAAAAATTTGTAGGAAATTTATGTTGGCAAAGGCTGGCAACACTCGATTGCTGCAATGGTTGGTTGGATTGTTGCGAAGCTCTCCAAGAGGTGTAATTCTTGCTTGCCACTGTGCCATAGTGACTATGGCGACAATGGAATTGCTGGCAGACCTTTTGTTGGATGTTTGTCTCTTTTTTTTAGGGTTTCATATTATTATTGTTGTTGCTGCTGTTGTTCTTGCAGTATTTCAGCCAAATTATGACATTTAAAAACCCAACATACAAATACATTGCCATAATTTAGTATATGTACGTAATAAATATACACGGTGTTGTATTTTGGCCAAATTGATGCTATCGCTGGGACATTTCACATGTGGAACACAGATATGTTTTTGTATGGCGATGTGAGAGAGAATCGGAAAATGTTAAAAATAGAGCTTTGAAAAGAATTGGAATTTTGCTGACTTTTAATTTATTGATTGAAACTTGTGCTTAAGTTTGCTACGTCTTTTTTCTCATTTTTAACTTGAAAACTAGAAATTGGTAAACAATTATTTTCTTCAATTCAGAGTTTCTATTCATCAATGTACGTAGTTAAACACACACGCACACACAGAGAGAATCGCACATATTCTTTTTGTACAAATTGACAATTGCCACATTAATTGATGACTTCTGTTTGAACAGGTTTACGCACTCACAGATACACACGCACAGGTGATTGACCTTTTTTGCGTGATGTTGATTTCTGATTTATAACGGCCGACACGACTTTATTTCGTTTTTTTCTATTTTTTTTTCAAAATTTTACACAGATGTATTTTTATACACACACATAACACACACGTTGTTTTTTTTTTTTTTTTTTTTTTTTTTTTGAATATCGACCCAACACCTGAATAAGGCCATGCGACGTGTATTTTTTATTGTTGTTGTTGTTTTTATTTTCTTATTTGAAACCGAGTAAATAATAATAAACGCATTTTAGATTTCCTCTTGGGGTGCACAATTGGAATTCTATAATTTGTTGTTGTACAACTTATTATTTTCATTTCATTCATTTAAGAATCGTGGTCTACCTTTTGAGATACATACACAGAAACAAAGAGATTCTATGGTTGGCTGTGTTTTTGTTTCCTTCTTCTGGCAATGCAAATCAAAACAATACACAATAAGTAAATCGATGTGTATGTTTGTATGTTATATTTATGGTACTTCTTTCGAATGTCACACGCGGAACTGCGAGCGCGACTTGCTTATTCTGCGTCCCGAACTAAACTGATTATTTTTGTGCAGCAGCTGATTATCGTCTTGGCACCGGTACGGATATTTCTCTTCATATCGCGTGCGAAAACTTTTCATAAGAGAAAATATTTATGCGCCTGCCTAAAAGAAATTCTCTTAAATTGCCTTGTTTTATTAAATGTCTCTTTTGATAAGCGTTGCCAGAATTAATTATTTCCCCAAACTTGGTATATATATTGTTTGGACAAACATTTAAAAACGGAGAAATAATTTTTGTTTTTGAAATCGATCGTTTTTTAAACCACAGAGTGATTCTGATACGGTTTTTTCCAATTCAGTAAGTTTTGAACATAGATACCCATTTTTATATTTTTTTACAAATGTTTTTTTCTTTCTACTGTTAACATAATCCAAAACGATTAAATTCGATTCAGATTGAATTTAGATTTTTGGACCATATATAACCCTACGATCAACCAAGGGGCTACATTTGTACCTTTTTTTATTAAAAATGCTGTACAATTTTCAATAATGCAGATATTTGGATGAAATTTTGAAGAATCATAACCGTGGTACATTTGTACCCATCCACTGTAATGCCATGTACAGACGAGCGTTGTTCGCTCTCTCATTCGTTGTTCGACCCTTAATTATGAAGTAATTACTTAGTTCCCCATACAAAATTTTCTGAGCGAACACCGATTTTTGTACGTAGTTCAATTCGAATCACTCTCTGAATAGCCAAGAAATTTGTCCCATCCCTAACAATTGAGAGCATTTATCGAAAATAAATTAATTTTGACAGCTTGAAAATATTTTTAAAATTTTCAAACTTTTTTAGTAAAATTGAAAATGATAAATGAAAAGTAAAAAATTGTCTAGTTTTTATATATGCAGCAGGATGTACATTTTGTTATCTACATAATGCAATATGAATTTCTTTCCTCTTGGTTCTAATTAGCGTGACATTTGAATTTAGAAAATATAAAAATGTATGAAAACAACAATATTTTCAGAAAAAATGGAAATGATGAATTAAAAGTATATAGATATGGGTCCATACTATAGTCAGGAGAAAGAGAATTAATTTTTCTATGTAGATCCATATGTAATTCATGCAAATATGTTAGAATTTTGGTGTAAAACAAGAAACAAAAAGTTTGAAATAAAAAACTCTGATGACATGAATTAAGAATAGTGTTGTATGAACGGGTTAATTCATGTACGTAATTCTGAGAGCGAACTACGCTGTAATTTATCGTGCGAAAATTTTTAAATAGTAATCTAGAATTATATGTACGTACCCAAAGTTATACATAAATTAAATAAGTATGTATTATAGTACGTTTTCATTTAACCGGAATTCGTTAACTCAGTGGTTAATTAAATGTGTATTTTAGTGTTAATAGTTCATTTATATTAATAAAGTTAATGTACTATGCAAATGTCAACAACTTCGAATTTTGTGTCATTATGTATGACACGCCATTTTGTGTACACATACATTTCTCTTTCGTTATTAGTTCTAATAAACTGATCTCAACAACAGGTTATGGTTTTTTGCAAGAAAATTGATAAAATCATGGCTGCATCGTACACATTATTTCCCAAATTGTCAAATACGAATTACTATGTTTGGAAATTTAACATCGAGTTGCTGCTGCTGGTGAGGGAATTGTGGGATGTTGTTGTTGGTAATGTGCCTGAGGAGCCGGATGAAAAGTAGTTGATTCGTGATGGGAAGGCAAGGGCTTCTTTTGGGTTAGCTGTGGAGGAATCACAGAAAATACTCATAAAGGAACTAAAGGCGGCGAAAGCTTTCTGGGACGCCTTGAAGAAACATCACGAGAAATCAAACATTACCAACAAAGTTAGTCTGCTTCGCCAAATGCCGTCGAAGAGGCTGGTTAGTGGTGAATGTATGGAAGACCACATTCATGAATTTTTATCAATTGTGGACCGTTTGCGTGATTTGAGCGAGAAGGTCGAAGAACACAAAGCTGTTGCATTTTTACTGGGCACTTTGCCGGATGATTACAACCACCTAATTTCATTATTAGAAATGCGCTCAGAAGAAGATCTGACGCTAGATTTGGTGAAGAAGAAGTTGCTACAGGAGTTCAAGAGAAATATGGCAGCTGAAATATTGTTAAAGATGGCAACAAAAATCTTTGTTTTGGCATCACAAATGTAAAAGCAAATGGCGATTGGTTTATTGATTCTGCTGCAACCTTGTCATATGTGTAGTGAGGAGACATATTTGGAAAAAAATTAATAAGCAAGAGGATGAAAGGGTGTATTTGGCTGATGGTACGGTGTTGAAGGTGACTGGTTGTGGTGACTGCAAAATAGTTTGTGAAGGCAAGGAAATTCGTGTTAAGAATGTACAGAGCTGGACGGGAGTTTACTGTCTGTTCGGAATCTATGACGGTTTGAAGGTGTTTTTTGACAGAAATTGTGGTTTAATTTCTCTGGACGGACATGCCATGCGAAAGCTACTTTAAGGAACAATTTGTTTGTGCTGAATCAGTCTTACAAGTCAAATATGATCTATGATGGGCAAAATTTCTCTTAAAAAATGTTTAAGGGAAAATAAAAACATGAATTATTCTTCGGAATTTCTTAAATTTAATATTTTTAAAGCATAAATGATATCCAAGGAAGTTCAAAATATAAATTCATTAAAAAAATTCGGAAAAAAATGTCATTAATGTTTATTTTTGTTTTAACATCAAAAATGTAAAGAGAACCCATCAACGCTGGTGTGCAAGTCTGCCCAACTATAAATATGATATCGAAATGTAAGAGTGACTTTATTCATATTTGGCATCGTCGTTTTGGCCACAGAAGTCATCAAGCAATTACTTCAACAGTTGCTAAGGAGCTTGTTCAAGGAAACGTGCTTGTTTGTTTGATTGTGAGGTCAGCTTGAGAGCAAAACTTACACGAGCACCCTTTTGAAAGGTATCGGAATCTAGATCGGATGAAATTTTAGATGACATTATTGTTGCATCTAAGACTGATAAGGAAATTGAAGATGTTTTACGTGTTCTGAAATCTCAGTTTGCAATAACGGAATTGTGTGATTTAAGACCCTATTTGGGGATAGAAGTGAGCTACAATAATGGTTTTTATTATTTGTCACAAGAACGTTACATTGAAAAAATTTTAAATGAGTTTGGTCTTCAAGATGTAAAGATTTCTTTGATGCAGTTGCTATTTCAATATTATCTCGGAAAATTACTTGCCCCAATGAAAGAGATTGGATTGAAGTCAAAAGGGTTCTAAATATCTAAAAGTGACTAAAGACTTGAAATCGCTCGTTGAATCTAAGAGCGATTTAGAATTGAAAGGCTTTGCTGATTGGGCAGGCGACATCAATGATCGAAAATCTACAAGTGGTTTCATTTTCAAGCTTGGTGATGCTGTCATCAGCTATGCAAGCAAATGTAACTTTATCGTCTACCGAAGCAGAGTTTGTGGCTCTTGCTGAAGCATCTCAGGTACTCCAATGGATTATGCAATTAATGAAGGAATTTGAAATCCACATATCCAGTCCGGTCATTTTTGAAGACAACCAGAGTTGCTTCAAGATACTTCAAGATGAGAAATTAAGCCCTAGAAGTAAGCATATAGATGTAAAGTATTACTTTGTTCCCGACTTGTATAGATCGAATAGCGTATTATTTAATTATTGACCAACAGAGTCTATGTTAGCAGACATTATAACCAAGCCTTAACAGAAGGTTAAAATATGTAAATTTCGAAAACTGATTATTATGTAATTTAGATTAATTCGCTATTTTTATATACATATTTGGAGTTTATATAAATTAGTTTTATTTTTAAGTGATTATTTATACTCTTTCGAGTCGAGCTTAAAAAAAATCTGCTTTGAAAAAGGACTGTTTCTAGAATGAAGACAAATGTCGAACTTTGAAAAATTTGAATTTTAATGAATTTATTTAATTCGCATATACAAGTTTCGCATCAGGGCGGAATAAATACATGTTATCAACTTACGACATTTGTAAAGCCACATAGCCCAATATGCCTGATGAGCCGCTTAACCAACGGCGAAATGCGTCGCATAGTGGTGGGTACGTAGGTTCTTCTCCTGGCTTTCCTTTTCATTGCAAACCTTCGATCATTAAGCTCGACTCGAAAGAGTATAAATAATCACTTACAAATTACTTTCAAAAGATCGATGCCCATACAAGGCAAAATTCAAATAACATAAATTAGTTTTAAACAATATTTGTAATATTGAGAAGTGGTGTTAATAGTTAATTTATATCAGCACTCACATTAACAATGTAATTAACTGTGAAGACACTTAACCCTTTCTGTGTCAAAAAAAAAATTTTTTTGTCGGAATAAAAATCTTAAATGTTGTACTTAAAATCGTATAAAGGTATAGAGTGTAGAAAACAAAGCAATTTTCATTTTAAACCTCGGACAGTTTCGCCTGATTTTCAGCAAAAACAAAAACATCAATGTTAACGGTACATAGGATAAGTGAAAAATCGCAAAGAAAGAGAGAATTTTTAAATGTCGAATATATTCGACAAAAACACTGAAAGGGTTAATGTTTATGTGACAACCCTGTACTATGCAAATGTCAACAACTTTGAATTTTGTGTCGTTTTTACTTCTAGTAAACTGATCTCAACAACATATAGTACGTTTACATTTAACCAGATTTCGTTAACCCAGTGTGTTTCAAATGTCAATTCCTTTGCATATATGTCAAATAAATGCTCATAAAGTAGGTAAACCCGGTAAAATTTTTAATGTATATTCAGTATTAAACTCCTTGTACATTAGAACTTTTTACCGGGTTAACCTACTTTATGAGGATTTATTTGGCATATATGCAAAGGAAATGACAATTGAAACCCACTGGGTTAACGAAATCCGGTTAAATGTAAACGTACTGTTAAACTTCATGTTTAAATGGAAATCAATCTACAACTGACACAGTAATTTCGTTACAACTTTCGAATAGGTTATTTTTATATTTTTTATATGGAGTTATTCTAGTTGTTCCCTATGGGACCATCAGGCACTCGTGGAAGTCACAATTTGGGCCTTGCAATTTTAAAAATATTAAAAAATGCAACAATCAAGGCAGCCCAGCTGTTGGTACAAATAAATGTTAGAAATTTTGTTGTAATTTAAACCAAGAATAAAAACAGAGTTATACATGAAAATCTCCGAATTTTGAAGAGCTTGTTCAATTTTAATTTATATCGTCTGTGTGAAGCACATTTGGACTATTTCAAGATTTTAAAGAACATTTTTGAGTAAATTATCTTACAAAATTATAAATTGTGTGTTTTTTATTTAAGGGGACCCCCCATTCTAGGAGTCAACATTTTTTTTATTTAATTCGATTCTACACTAATTCAAGAATGTCTCTACAAAATGTCAAGTGAAAATCTCAAAAACTCTTGAAGATATAGCCGGTTTTTTGTGTCAGCATAAAGTGACGGCTAAAGGGCTTCTCAAATTTTAACGCGTTTTTCTCTTTTGCGAATGGCGGGCACGATAACTCAAAAACTAATAACCCAATCGATTTCAAATTTTTACACGTGTCTCTGTGAGTGTATAGCTATCGTATGAACTAGAATAAAGTCAATCGGTGAAGATCTTCCCTATTTTTAACTTGGTTTTTGGTCAAAAATCGGCGATTTTCCAAAAATATTTTTTCAAAGGTCCGCCATTTTGTTAATTTAAGAGCGAAGTCAATAATCCTAGTTCATACGAGAGCCAGACATGTACTCTTTCTAACACCGTTGAAATTTTCGGATTGCGATATTCCAGTGAAGAGTTATCATGCCCGCCATCAAAAATAAGGACTTTTCTTTAAATACAAAAACAACAACAAAGCAATAACAAAAATTTTTTGTAAATTATTTTTCTTCTCTTTTAAATCTTCAAATATATATGTGCAAAGTTACAAACCTTAACAAGCATTGGTATTGATTTACCGCCCATTGAAAATCGAGAATGGGTGGGGTTCCCTTAAAGGCGAAACTATTAGTTTTCACCTCGCCAAAAAAGAGGTTCAACTTAAGTTTTTTCTATGAATTCGCTTACTGGCCGACCTTATATAGGCCTGGGATTTCAATTTATTTCTGGTTTTGTATGTCTCGATGAATTAATTCGAATTCGCCTTGCTAACAATTTTGGCATATCATCAGGCGAGTTTCCTGCTAGGAATCCACCAAAACTGAATAAAATGGCATAACTGTTTAGAAAAATTTTATTAGAATTTGTACACGAATAATTTTTAGAATAAAATGTTTTTCATTTATCCTTCAAACAAAATATTTTTCAACACATTTACAACCACCGGCCGTACATGAAACCCTTATAAATATGCGATGGTGGTTGTCTTTAATTCCATATTCGCCCTAAACAAATTTTCGCTCTGTCATCATTTCCAGATGATTGTCCTTGACCTGGTGACAGAACATAGCGACATCTACATGTCACTTAATATTTAGTATAATGTTCTTGTAATTTGACATTTTGTGACAACAAATAGCGACATCTATATTTCGTCAACATAAACCTTGTATTTGCTACACTTTTTTACGTATTTTCGGCATAGACCATAGACTAAATAACATATAGACGACGAAATGCTCTCTTTGTTTGTCTTCGAATTTTCGAACATATGTAGATGGTGTTAGGGAGCATGGTTTTTGAGTAAATTATTTTCTCAAAAACTGAGTGAGTTTTTTTTTTTTTGAGCGTAACAAATTATTAAAATAAATAATGTAGATGCCACTACATCATTTTAGATAATGCACTTTGCATTTTTGAGTGTTTCTTATTATATTAGATAATGCTCTCCTCATTTTATATATTATTTGTAGCGGAAATGTAGGAGATTCGTGTTTGTATAACAAATGTTGTTGGATATATTGTCAGGTGCACTCATTAAATAAAAGAAGTTGAAGCATAGCGAAATTATTTTTAAATTGCAACTTCAATAAAAACTAAAAAAGTACTAATGTATATTTAGTAGTTGTTGCCGTGTTAACCTCCTCTGTGGGGATTTATTTGACATATATTTAAAATAATAACATTTTTCATAAATTTGTACAACACAAATGCATTATTTTTGCCCATTCGTATACGTAGTATTCAATTTTGAAAACGGTTGGTGTAAAAATGCAAATA